CATCCTGCTGTCTTCTCTTCAACTGACTAAGACAATATGAAGACACCTTCATCCTGCTGTCTTCTCTTCAACTGACTAAGACAATATGAAGACACCTTCATCCTGCTGTCTTCTCTTCAACTGACTAAGACAATATGAAGACACCTTCATCCTGCTGTCTTCTCTTCAACTGACTAAGACAATATGAAGACACCTTCATCCTGCTGTCTTCTCTTCAACTGACTAACAATATGAAGACACCTTCATCCTGCTGTCTTCTCTTAACCTGATTAACAATATGAAGACACCTTCATCCTGCTGCCTTCTCTTCAACTGACTAAGACAATATGAAGACACCTTCATCCTGCTGTCTTCTCTTCAACTGACTAAGACAATATGAAGACACCTTCATCCTGCTGTCTTCTCTTCAACTGACTAAGACAATATGAAGACACCTTCATCCTGCTGCCTTCTCTTCAACTGATTAACAATATGAGCTTACTTAGAGAAGGAGAAACTATTTACTTTTCTTTGATTCTGCCTTATCTTACACAACACCCCCTGAACCCCCTGATCAGTCTGTAAGGACTTGGGAGTTAGTCTGGCTGCTGGAGAGGTGCCAGGTCACTTCCTCAGTGCTGTAGATGTGCCCTTGAGCAAGGCACTGACTCCCCTCCAGCTCTGACATGCTCCTTGTGTAGAAACAGGAAGTGGTTAGGGATCCCAAAGTGAGGTCAAACAGCTCAAAGGAACGGTAACAAAGGTCAATGTGTGATGTCATAAGGTCAGTGTGTGATGTCATAAGGTCAGTGTGTGATGTCATAAGGTCAGTGTGTGATGTCATAAGGTCAGTGTGTGATGTCATAAGGTCAATGTGTGATGTCATAAGGTCAGTGTGTGATGTCATAAGGTCAGTGTGTGATGTCATAAGGTCAGTGTGTGATGTCATAAGGTCAATGTGTGATGTCATAAGGTCAATGTGTGATGTCATAAGGTCAATGTGTGATGTCATAAGGTGGATATGACTATCTACGGAGAGCCTGAAGGGACAAAATAACACAACATTAATTGAGATTAACTCTTTAATGCTGAAGGCTCTAATTTTAACATTTCGCTTAATGATGTGATTTATTTTAAATTAGAATGTTTCTTTTTATATATTTTGACAGTAATGGGTTAAACACAACAAATGAGTTATTTTCTATATAATATATGAGGGGGGGGCTAGGGGAACACAGTCTTGGATATCTATAAGTTTTAGGGAGCAGACATTTATTCAGAGTGTATAGACCTATTAAAAAAAAATAAAATTAAAAATGTATTTTCTTACCATATGCCCTAACACGGTCAGAATGATTTCAAAATAAAAGTGGAAAATTCTCCATTTCTGACAAAAATGAACATCTCGGGCAAAACCAGACTCACGCTGAGTCTGACAGAGTTACAGAAGTACAAAGATAACGATTTGTTCTGAAAGTCTCTCACGTGGGGAGAGCTCTTAACTTGCTCTGTTCGGACACTAGATGGCGGTAGTTCCTCTCACTTGGCTCGTCAGCTGTTCTGTGGGTTCAGAGGTCAAGTCTGTTTGGAGCTGCTGCAGACATGTTTGTGTTTGAATCGATGAGTCTTTCTTTAACTCGTCACAGTCAGCAGCTGGTGGAGACGTGTTTTATTTTCGTTGCTGACACTTCTCTGTTTTCTAAAGCTCTCAAAGTTTACACTCTCTGCACTCTGTGTGCACAGAGCTCTGAAGTTCATCACTAACTTCTGTGTCCACACGCAGACTTAAACACTGACGTATTACCTCCAGGTCAGTCTGAGGTCTGCTTCCTTCAGACCTTCAGAAGAGTTCAGGGACTTATCATCTTTGAGCCCCTTTCTTACCGTCTGCTCCAAAAGTCAGAACTGAAGTTTGCTGCTCACATAAAGAGCTGAGACGAGCTGCTCTCATTGGAGGATGTTAAAGGACTTGGCGGTGGACACATCTGGCTGCAGATGTTCTCCCTGATGTGTTTGTGGATGTTCTTGACAAATTTGTCCTTTTGTGTCTTTAAACGTCTGATAAAGATTTATTTTTTATATTTGTCTGTGCGGCTGCTCTGCGAGTTTTTTCCTGGTGAAATAACGGTTTGAATGTTTTACTATCGATCTTTGAAATAACAGTTTGTAATAAGACACGTGATATTGAAAACACTTTGATGAAAGAGAGTCAGTGTTGATGTTTTAGACGCTGAGTTTGTGTGTCTGGATCACGTTTTGGTGCTGAAGATGTGAAACATGAATCTGTCTCTGTGGATGTTCTTGTGCAGGTGCAGAGTTGATGCTGCCTTCACCTCCATCCTTTCACCTCAGCCTCCGCCCACGTGCCCAGTGTGTGCATGCATGTGTGTCTATGTGAGTGTGTTTGTGTGAGGCGGTGAGTGTGTGTCGCCCCGCCCCCTCTGCCCACCATGTCCCTGTTTCCCTCGATGGTCCAGCCGAGCCTGCAGACGTGTCTCCGCCTCCTCTGCCTGCTCCTCCTCCTCACCGGCTCCTCCGCCACAACCACTTCGAGGAAGGACCCCGATCCAGGCACCATCCTGCTGCCGACAAACACGACACAAGGTGACGTGTGTGTGTGTGTGTGTGTGTGTGAGACCACGCCCCTAACACTTTGTTCTCTTGTCCCTTTAATAAGACTCGGGTTATGTTGCCTTTATATAAAAGACTTTGTTATTACGTTATGTTTTCATTCTGATTTCAGCTCACTTCACTTTGTTTTGTTCCTCAGGTGAAAATGCTGACGTCACTCTTCCAGAGACCGGCTCCTTTAAAGTGGCCACGTTACCCCCACAGAAGAACTCCAGCAACCAATCAGACAACTCTGTAGCATCCCAAATTCCACCCGACCAATCAGAAGGAGGAAGGAATTCATCCACAAGCTCATCAACCAACCAACAGCCAAGATCCCGAGACCCTCTGCTTCCTCCAACCAGAGAGGGAGTCAGTGGACCAATCACCAACACGGCAGCAGCGACAACAACAACATCGTCATCTCCACCTCCAATGAGCACAACAACAACATCTCCAACAAACACAACAACAACATCGTCATCTCCACCTCCAATGAGCACAACAACAACATCTCCAACAAACACAACAACAACAACGCCATCTCCACCTTCATTGAACACAACATTATCTTCTCCTGCTACAAAATCAGCAACAATGAAGACAACAACGTTACCAGAACCTTCAACGACAGACATGACCTCCTCATCTTCACCAACAACAACAACAACAACAACAACAACAACAACAACAACCAGCAAAACCATAACTGCCTCTGCAGCAACACCCCGTCCTAAAACAACGACGACTTTGGCAACAACCCCAAGTTCAGCTGGCACGCCACAGCCAAACACCCCGAGCACCAGGACGCCAACCAGGACGCCAACCAGGACGCCAACCAGGACGCCAACCAGGACGCCAACCAGGACGCCAACCAGGACGCCACCAATCCAGACGACCTCTTCACCCACAGCACAGCCTACCATCGCTCCAACCGGCCACCATGAGCCGGTTTCCACGGGAACGCCGCGGGTTGCCGTAGTAGAAGTAGCCGGGTCTGCTCTGACCAAGCAGCTAATGAACACTGCGTCTCTCCTCGGCGTCCTGCTCTTCGGCCTGCTCTTCTTCCTGATGACGGTGGCGGTGTTCGTCATGCAGGCCTACGAGAGCTACAGGAGGAAGGACTACACGCAGGTGGACTACCTGATCAACGGCATGTACACCGACTCGGGGGTGTGAGGGAGGAAGCACAACGTGTGGAGATTTGTTTGGGTTTTTTTGTCCTCGTTTTCAGAGAACGAAGAGAGGAGGACTGCGTGGCGACACGGTGCTGATCCTGTGCCTCTGATTGGTCGATTGAGTCCATTCTTACTCCTTCCTGAATTCTCTAACAGCTGACTGAACTGATCGTTTTCTAACTTCATCACTTTGTTTTTCCATCTCTTCCTTTGAGGGTTTGAGAGTTTAACTTGTTCTGTTTGTGCCAAATCTTGAAACGTGGCTCGTAAAAAGAGGTCGCCTGGATACAAAAGAGCGTTAACGATGGTCCCACGGTGGTTAGACCAATCAGGAGGCTTCAGTTAAGATAGAACTTTGTTTATAAAGACGAACGACTAGTATCCACCTCCTCCCATTTCACAAAAGTGAAGCCAAAAGTGAATCCCTCCTGTGACGGGCACTGACATATTGGTCTGGTAACGTGTTGATGCCCCGCCCCCTTCCTCTAGCTCAAACTTACATTAAACTTCCTGGTCAAAGGTCGCTCAGGGGGGTTCAGTCTACAGCAGAACAGATTCTTGTGTCAGCTTGTGTTCCAGAGCACACAGCAACGCAGGAGCCTCATTCGTCAACACAGCTGTCAATCATGACGTCATACTTCTTTTATAGCATCGATAAACTAATTAAAACTACAGAAACCATGTTTGAAAAACATTTGTTTGACAGTTTGATCTTGTCCCGTCTGTTAGCTTGGAGGAGGCAGAGCTTATGACCTATAATGCAAGCTGTCAACAGGGGGAGCTCTAAATGTTTTGGCTTCACTTTTTAGGGCGCTGTCATGTCGTCCATCTTCTTTTTTACGGTCTATGATGTAGAAAGCTCAGCCACCCAGTGTCACATGAATAATTTCACACAGAATTCAGCTCAGTAAGGATGAGCACTGTCACTTTAAGAAAAATCAATTCGCTAATTGGTTAATTAGCATACAGGCCATGTAGAGCGTTATCATAGACTGTGTATCAGACGTTAGCTTAGCGTCATGACATCACTCATTTCATCTTGGACAAACGTTGTCTACGGCTCACTTCCTTAGACAAAATGAACAACAAGAACAGCCATCTCCGCCCTGAGCTTCTTTTAGTACAACCAAACCGACATTTGTCAATCAGAGGTAGCCCCGCCCCCTAACTCATTCTAGTCTCTAATTGGACCACAATTTAGTAGATACACATTGAGCTGTGTTGAAGAAGACTTGAAACTACAGACTGAGACCAAAAACTCGTTTTGAAAATGTTTACTGAGGTCCAAACATTTCATGATAGACTTATTTACTATCAGCCGCCCCCTCCTGGCCGTATGAAAGACTTTTCATTCTTTTTTGACAGCTCGGTGAAGGACCAAAGTTTATTTGTTAATTTGATGTCGCACATTTCGTGGAACAATTATTTAACGGTTAGAAAAACGGTGAAAGACAAAAAAGCAGCTAAGAGCCTTAAGGACAATGAGGTGTTATGATTGAAACGCGCCACAGAGACGTAAACTGAGACGGTCAGGATCGCACCCACAAGGTATTAATTTAATATCATGATCATTTATCAAACTCAGCTGCATTAAATCATACGTACATGATCTTATTTAAAGGTCACATTTAAAATCCTCTTCTCCATGTTCCTCTAACATGTGTCTCTAGTCCGTCTACAAACCCCCCAATGATGAGAAAAGTCCATCCTCTCCGTCTTTTGCCTGCTCCACTTTTCAGAAAATGTGTGCTCAAACAGGCCGTTTGGAGATTTTCCCTTCATGACATCACAAAGGGCAGTAGCCCCTCCCCCAGGTGGGTGACACTCCCACAGCTAGGTGTTTGTTCTGCCCTCTGAGGTCTGCCTTCTCACCGTAAACAATAGGACATGGAGCGAGAAAGACAGAGACACCCGAGCCCTTCCAGAGAGGGGGCGTGGTCAGACACAGCTCATATACATATTTAAAGGTGCAGACACAGAAACAGCCTGTTCTGAGCAGGGCTGAAATAGAGGGGTTTATAGACATGATCAAATACAGGATCAGAGTGGATTTAGAACAAGAAACTTCACACACATGTTTTGAGGAGCTCTGAGACTTATTTACACTGAAGAGGAGGAGGAGGATATGTCACCTTTAAAAGTTTCCCCACTGAAACCAAAAAAGAGAAAATGTTTAAAAAACTGATCCTAACTGATAAAGACGGGAGAAAAAAGAGTCTTACTGATGTATCATCGGCCTTTTACAGAGAAAAGAAGATTTAATCTGAAACCATTTCATGCAGAAAACTACACGAGAGGTGATTTCTGTGAAGGTGTAATGACCTAGTTTGTCCAGCAGAGCACGCTCCGACGCCATAGCCTGAAATGACTTTGTTTGCTTAATAGGCAGATTTACAAGTTTGCAACAACTCAAATCTTAGCGAATGTCTGATTTCTAATCAAATATCTCATAAGACTTATTTTAATCCAGAGAAGCATCTCATTCCAAGACGTCACAGCGAAGAACAAGTCCTGAGTTGTTTGTTAGAAGTGGAAATATGTGGACATGAAGCGAGCTGAGGACTGACGTCTTGCTTTCATGACTCTACAGTCACACTTTCTCATGTTCTGCATCGTCAAACCTAATTCATGCCTGACTTTCTGCTTTTCACATCTTGATATAAGACGTGTATTTATCCTGTCAGGTGAACATGGGTTATAAAAAGTATAATGAGATATTATTTGATAGAAAGAAGACGGTTTGAGTTTTCAGTCTCTCCACATTGTTATGCGGCGTTTACTTCAGGTGAATAATCCTCTAACCCGTGAACAGCTCGATGTGAGGCCGCCTCTTTGAAATCCAGGTGAAACTTGTTTAATGTCAGACGGGTGTTTTATGACATCATCACCCTGATTCTGCAGCTTCACCCACAGAGAGAAGTAACACCTCTGATTCAGGACTCCATTAGACCTCATGTCAGCGAGTCCCAAAACGGGTTGTCATGGTAACCGTAGTGACATGTTACTGAGGGTGCTCGCTTGTGCACATGTTTGTTTTTTTGTGTTGAAGATGTCTCTTCATTTCAGACAGAAACAAACGATTCCTGATGCGCTGCAGATACAGAAAGATGCTGCGGGCCCAGCGACATGTGACGGCTGCTTTAAATGAGATATTTCATGTTTAAAATCCCACTTCAAACCTTTACAGCAACAATCTGTAACTTTCCACCTTCTGATATAATTTAAAAATCCATCTAACGGGCGATTTGAATTAGGTGAGCCTTAAAGGTCTGGATCTGGATCAGGGTCATCAAAACCAGTTTTTCTCTGAACAATCAGGATAAACGTGAGCTGAAGCTGGACTAGGCTACCAGACCCAGATCATTTTATCTGGATCAAACCTTTTGAACAAGCGGGCCCTGATTTCAAGATTTAATCCAATCGCTTTAATCCTGCTGGGTTACTTCTGAACAAACGTGCTGGATTAGGTGATCCTTAATGGTCTGGATCTGGATCAGGGTCATCCAAACCAGTTTTTCTTTCCAATAAATGGATTACCAAAATCTGGATCTCCAAACCCCTCAGCAGATGAAACTGTTTGAACAGCTGAGCGCTGCTTTAAGTTACAAGCGCAGCAGGCGAGCTCACAGGAGGTCCAATTAAAACGAGCGTTACATTAAAGCGTAGCAGGCCGCAGCGTCTTCTCTTCGCAGCGTTGATTACATTTTCCTTCAAACTCTTCCCTAAATGTCTGATTGTTTCTTTAAACTTTAATATCAGAGTCTGTATCATGATGTGTTCCTGCTGCTTTTTGCACACATGCAATGAATCATGGGAAATAGGGCCATACTAGATTTTTTATTTTCTATATATTCTACTTTTTGCACACGGTGAATGTATTTTTCAAAGCTCGGCTCGACTGGACTCCCGACCACGTTGTGTTTAATGTTCAGTGTTCTTCATTGTTTACATCTTTAACACGAGTGTTGGTTGATCATCACTCCTGAGATTTATGTCTTCCATTTCATTATATAACTTTACTCTTAATAGAGCTATACCACAGATTCTAAGAATTATTGGGTTTTTTGTCATGAAATAAAGTTGCAGCTAATTTGTTTGTATGACTTTGAGTAACTTTCTGCAGCTCGACTAGATTTCTGTTTTTAAAACTGTGGACCGTATTCCCACGGCGGCCATGTTGCTGTGACGTCACACTCAGTGCGAAGCTCAAATGTTATCCTGACTGTATCCGAATTGCCAAGTACATACTCAATCTGTCAGTATGCAGTACGTACAGTCTGCTGTATACTGTTAGTACCTACTGTTCACGTTTCCTGAACCAGCCGCATCTACAGGTTTTCTTTTTTTGTCTATCTTTATTCAAGAAGAGTGATGCTCAAAAAACAATATCACAATGTAAATCAAGTAAAAGATTAAATAACTAAATAACATACAGTACATAAAGAACAAATGAAAGACAGTAATATACAGAATATAAAATAAACCAGTAAAGACATTTAAATAGTTAAATCATTATTTAAATAGTGAAATCATTATTTAAATAGACGGGGAAAAGTTTTATCATGCAGACATTTGTTATATTTTCTGTTGTTAATTTAAAGTAATGATTTCAGTCGGGACTTACGTTTAATTTCGCACAGCATTGTGGGTAAAATACAATTAATTTCCTGAAAGCACGCATCCGATCCATACTGCATGAAACCAGGAAGTTAGTATCCATACTGAAATGTTCAGTATACTGAGGTGGACCCAAAAAATGACCACGAGGGTTCAGTATACTGAACTGTGGCTATTCGGAAAGGGCCACTGTCTTACTCAAGCAGAAACCTCCAGTGTTGAAACATGAAGCCGATGCTGAAGTGTAACATCCTGCAGTTCCTGGAGTGTCCACTAGAGGCTGGCTGCAGAAGCACAGGAAGTCACATACACACCCATTCTAAAAAGCCTGTTTTTACAGCAGAGATGAACATGTTTACAGCCTGGTTCAAAAAACCAAATAGGTGTGATTAGCTCATGTCTGGATGGACACACACTGTACGGGGGGTGAATGTTTTGATGACTCATCAGTTTTGATTTGATGAAGGATAAGAGTTATTCACAATAAGGCGTGTAGCTGACCTGATTGACAGGTGGGCGCGGTGTAACGGTTTGTCAGGAGGTTTAAAACCCGCCTCAGCTCCAGCTCTCAGCCTGTGGTTAGGTTGACTGAAAGTTAGACTGAGGCAGCATTTCCAGCATGGAGACCGCCATCGATGGGACTCCAGCGCCCCCTGCAGGGACAGACGGGGGACGTCATCGATGGGACTCCAGCGCCCCCTGCAGGAACAGATGGGGGACGTCATCGATGGGACTCCAGCGCCCCCTGCAGGAACAGACGGGGGACATCATCGATGGGACTCCAGCGCCCCCTGCAGGAACAGATGGGGGACGTCACTCAGGCTGCGTCCATAATCTTTACAGTCTGTGATCTCACTGTTATGTTCCAGGTTAAAGTCGTATAAGCGTTGCAGATCACAGCAACTGTTGTCATTTGAAAGCGTCTACACAAACAATCTGGAGACACAACGGGCCGGATTACGAGTTACAAACATATTCATGACCGCCATGGGAATATGGTCCATTATAACTCTAAACTGTGAAGAAATGCTCTCCACAGTCTGATGAGGACAGACTGACGGGTTTCTGTTCTTCATGCTACAGACTGGAGCCTTTCCTTTTGTCTGCTCGGATCAACATTCTTCATCTCAGCGTTCATAATCAACGGACTTTTGCCAAATAAGAACTCAATCACATGATTATTGTTAGCTCAGTAGGACCTGAGAGCTCACTAAGACCTGAGGGCTCACTAGGACCTGAGAGCTCACTAAGACCAGAGAGCTCACTAGGACCTGAGAGCTCAGTAGGACCTGAGAGCTCAGTAGGACCTGAGAGCTCACTAAGACCAGAGAGCTCACTAGGACCTGAGAGCTCACTAAGACCAGAGAGCTCACTAGGACCTGAGAGCTCACTACGACCAGAGAGCTCACTAGGACCTGAGAGCTCACTAAGACCAGAGAGCTCACTAGGACCTGAGAGCTCACTACGACCAGAGAGCTCACTAGGACCTGAGAGCTCACTAAGACCAGAGAGCTCACTAGGACCTGAGAGCTCACTAAGACCTGAGAGTTCACTAGGACCTGAGAGCTCAGTAGGACCTGAGAGCTCAGTGAGAGCTCAGTAGGACCTGAGAGCTCAGTAGAGCTCAGTAGGACCTGAGAGCTCACTAAGACCTGAGGGCTCACTAGGACCTGAGAGCTCAGTAGGACCTGAGAGCTCAGTAGGACCTGAGAGCTCACTAAGACCTGAGGGCTCACTAGGACCTGAGAGCTCACTACGACCAGAGAGCTCACTAGGACCTGAGAGCTCACTAAGACCAGAGAGCTCACTAGGACCTGAGAGCTCACTACGACCAGAGAGCTCACTAGGACCTGAGAGCTCACTAAGACCAGAGAGCTCACTAGGACCTGAGAGCTCACTAAGACCTGAGAGTTCACTAGGACCTGAGAGCTCAGTAGGACCTGAGAGCTCAGTAGAGCTCAGTAGGACCTGAGAGCTCACTAAGACCTGAGGGCTCACTAGGACCTGAGAGCTCAGTAGGACCTGAGAGCTCACTAGGACCTGAGGCTCACTAGGACCTGAGAGCTCACTAC